ACAAAAAATTGCAAATCAAAAATTTGAATAAACGAAAAATTAAAGAATCTAAAAATCCAAAAATTAACAATGAAAAAAAAATAGAGAAATTGTAAACCGAAAAACTGCAGACTCTAAAAATTGAAGAAATGCAAAAATGAAAAATTGAAAAATCGCAAATCGAAAAATTGAGAAAACGAAAAACTCAAAAAATCTAAGTTGAAAATATAAAGAAAATAAAAAACCGAAATTACAGATCGAAAAACTGAAAAATTAAATATTGAAAACTCGAGAAATTCAAATCGAGAAATTGTAAAATATAAAAAATGAACAAACAAAAAAATGGAAAATCGAAAAATTGTAGAAAGAAAAAACCGAAACGAAATATTGTAATTGAAAAATTAAAAATTGAAAACTCCAGGAATTCAAATCGAAAAATTGCAAAACCTACAAATTGAAAAATTCAACAACCGGAAAATTGAAAAACTAAAAAATTTAAACTTGAAAACTCGAAAAAATTGCAAGTCGAAAAACTGCAGAAACAAAAGAAATGAAAAATTGATTAATTTTTCTGTTTGTGATCTTGTGCAGTTTAAAAATTATTTGTTCTATCTTTTGGTTTTGAAATGATTCCAAAATTATCAAACATTCCTAATATTTGAAAATAACGAAAAATGTAATTTTCATCATCACTGAAAAATTTCCAAACTACTAACGAGTTTTTTCCTTCATGTTAATTCATTTTGCCATTTTTCATAAATTATATACATATATATTTAGGTACCTAAAAACCGTTAGACATAAATCCATTACATTACATTTGAAAATTCTACCTCCAACTTTATGAAATTTGAAAATAGCTAAAATTCGTTACTTTGGTTAGGTCACAAACACGTTTTTGTAATAAACGTTTCTGCATTAATTACTAACTTGAATGAGTCAACAACATGTCTTAAAATTAATCCCAACAGCGCTTATTACAGTGAGAATATAAGCCTTTCGTTCGTGACTTGACACTGCTAACCACTGGGAACGAATTTGTTGTCATAAACCTAGTTCGCAGTGATTCAGGACGCGGTGCACACTAAGTTTGAGTTATAAAACTTGTTGCTATAAATTTGAACTGTGAACGCAAATTTCCTAAGCTAACTCGTACAGTTACAAATGCAAGTTTCCTTTGAATATCTTTAGGCTCATAAAAAAAATCTTAAATATTACTATTACTTATTCAAGGATTACATCAAATCAAATAAATGACTGCGATTGAAACGTAAATAGATAATAAGAACCATAAGTAGAACAGTTCCCTGCTTAAGTAGATTTAAATTTAAAAAGTCATAGAAATGGGTGGGGATAATGGCTGGAGGGTCTGTGGATTTATAGACTACATTGTGAAATTAAGAAATGCTGACATGAAAAATTTGATGTAAACTTAAGAAATAAAAAAAAGTACAAATTTTTCAAACTGTGTTCTTCCAAAAAATATTTTAGAAAATTTGCTGAAAATTCATGGATCCTTGATTGTTAATAAAGAAATTTCGAGTAACATTATTAAAGTCGCACAGGTATTCACTTGATTTAATACTGAGGAATTTAGAAATCGATAAAGTAACTGGGAATTGAATTCAGACGATGTGTCTAAATCAATCTTAAAAACTTTAAATTAGTAAATTTAAAAATTCTTATCGATGGACATTAATATTGTCAATAATAATAATAAAAAGTCGAACAGAAGTGCTGTGAAAAGTACATATTAGGTTATCAGGTTATTACAATCTGTCACCTAAAGTTAGACCAGTAGCAAATTATTTATATCATGGAAAACTCTGTAGTTCTGAAAAAAAAAATTAACAAAGGACAAAAAACACTCATAGTTATACCACGAAGAAATTACATAACAAAATGATGGATGCCGCTAACGGTACAACGAAAACTTTTTTCCTCCGCTCTCCTTCGACGTTTTTCTAGAAAAATGATATTCTAAAGTGGCATGCAAATTACAGTGGTTCAAAATTTGTTAATTTTTAATTACTTGTAGGATTTAAACAGATTGTTAAAGAATCCACAGTTGGTTCACAAATTATATAGCAAAGAAACATTAAAAAAAATAGTCCAAAGTTATTTCGGTAGAACTTCCTTCGTCCCTAAGTCCCTAAAGTACAGTCGAAAATTTGTAAAATTTAATTTTGAGAATTTTATTTATTTTATGATGACTTTTATGAGCTAAAATTAATACGTGTGGATTGTTGAAATACAGGTAATGAAAAAGCACATGGTGCTTATGTTTCTAGTGAGTTTTTATTCTTCTACTTACGGATAACCTTAAAACATTTGCAAGATTTCAGAGCTTTTGGCTTTGCAGTTTCAATGCCAAATTGCAAAATGTTATTATAAAATTTTAATTTTCCTTCCAAAAATCTGGAAGACTAGAATAAAAACTCAATACGGATTCATAAACTACAAGCAGAGGAGTACGTTATTTTATAAAAATTAAATAACACTGATTATTGCAAAAGTTGTCATATCATTGTTGTTGGGGCAAGCAAGTAATAGTTATTTAATAAACTAGTTTGTTAATGAAGGCCATTAATAATCGACACTGTTTAAAGCACGAACGAGCGTAGCGAGTGAGTGCCTTTAAAAGTGGAGATTATTAATCGCCCATTAACAAACGAGTTTATTACAACATTTTTTCGTTGACCACAAACTTGCCCATACTTGTGTGTTTTAATTTTGAACAGTTAACATAGTTCCACAAACTTGCCCATTCTTGTGTGTTTTAATTTTGAACAGTTAACATAGTTATCATTGGAAAAAAAAATGACAAGCGAATCACAAACGTTGACATTCATTGTGTAAAAAGCGTTTGCCATTGCGGTTGTAAATTGTAAATTGAGAAATGGAACTAGAAAATAGTGATCTTCCGGCTGCAGTAATAGTAAGTGCGAACGATGCGTGTGGAAGTTTATTACCGGCTAAAAGTAAAGATCTCTACGAAAGAACATACTCTGAATTCTGCGATTGGTCTACTAAGAAACACGTAAACGATTACATTGAGCCCGTCTTGCTGGCGTATTTTGCCGAGATCGTACAAAAAGGATTAATTGCGAGCCTCTGGCCAAAATTTTCAATGTTGAAGTCTACTCTACGTCTAAAAAAAATATTGACATTGGCAATTATCATAAATTGATAATTGGCAATTATCATAAATTGATAATGTACATTAAAAGACAAAGTGAAGGACATGTTCCAAAAAAATAAAAAATATTGGAGAAAGGGCAAGTACAACAATTTATTATTGAAGCTCCAAATGATGTATTTTTAATGGCCAAGGTAAATTAAGACCAAGTACTTGAATTTGTACAAGCTAACAACTTTTATAGGTAGCACTCATTTTCGGCATCGCTGGAGCTTTAAGAAAGCATGAACTTCTAGAATTGCAAACCAACAATGTTGAAGATTTGAAATCAAAATTTTTAGTTACTATCCCTGGCTCCAGAACAAAAACAAAAGAAAAAAGAGTTTTTACCATTGTAGATGATGACCAAAGTATATTTTTAAAATTAATCAGACGGTATATAACACTGAGATCCAACCATACAAAACATACACGATTCTTTGTACACTACAGACACAATAAATGCACTACAAACCTTGTTGGTATCAACACATTTTCTAAAATTCCATGTACAGTTGCACAATTTTTAAAATTAGATCAGCCAAAACTCTATACGGGACATTGTTTCCGTAGATCATCAGCCACAATCTTATCTGACTCAGGGGCTGATTTTGCGGCAATAAAGAGGCACGGTGGGTGGAAATCAACAAGGGTTGCAGAGTCATACATAGAAGACTCACTTCAAAATAAAGTTAATATTGCCAAGCAATTGTTTTGTAACGAGACAGCAACTTCTTCCACCACCCCGGAGACCTCTACACAATTGTTTTGCTCAGCCACTGCTAATTTTCCTTCTAATTCGCCAGCACAAACAGAAATAAATAACTCGATCAACTGGATAAATAACATAATTTCGAACACCTCCGAAAACGTTCAAATCAACATAAATCCTGACGTTAGCAACACAAAGAATTTATCTGTTCCTTTCGTAACCTTTAACAATTGTAGTTTTAATAGTTTTGTGATGAATATCCAAAAATAATTCTAATTATGTTATAACAATATTTCATTAATTGTAAAACTTTCTTGTAAAATGAATAAAATTAAAAGAAAAATAAATGAGTATATCTGGTTGTCTAACATCATGACAGATCACAACGTTTTAAAACCGTGAAAATGACGAACTAAAAAAGAGTGCGTTAATGAAAAAGAGATCGTTAATGACGTCCATTAACGCATCCTTTTTTCGGAAAAAAAAATCATTAATATTCACATTAATAAGTGGTCGATGAAAAAACATTTTATAAATATTTTTTTAAACAACTCAGCATATATTTACTTTTTAGGTAGTTCTGTTTTTACGTTAACATACTCAGTAGTCTCCAAAAAATATATTTATATAAAAAAATAGCATGCATTACATTTTTGGAGAAACACTATTTTTGTGTCATTAAACACAAACCCAAACTGATATTGTGCTACAAATTTCTTGTCAGCATTTAAAAACTTTAAGCAGTTGTGAATTTAAATAGTTTTAAAAAGTTTAATAGGTAATATATATTGTTTTTAAACAAGCAGCTCATAAAAAAAACCCTCATTCAAACACATTAATAAAAGAACGCCAAACGAAATTTTAATTCAAATTCGCACACTCGCCCGGCGCATCCACCAAATTGCTCCAAACAACTTCGAAGAATCAAATTCGCCAATCTCGTGACAACGGCACATCTCACCCACCACCCCCTTAATTGTTGACCCATTCCTTCCTCCAGCAATAACCCGCATGCTAATTAATTGAACAATCGCCCTTTAATTAATAATTTCCGTTGTGTGTTCGAGAATAACCCCTCTAATAAAAATACAAGAAAGGTCTCGCTTATACATGTTCGATGTATGATTTCAGATATGGAAGGTGGGTGACAAGACGAGTGGCTTTAGGAACAATAGCAACAATATGGCTTCTGGCGGCGCTTATATCGTTCGTTCCCATTTCGCTGGGGTTGCACCGGCCCCCACAACCTCTTGTCTACAATGCCGGGGGCCAGAACTATCCGACTTGCGCTCTGGATCTCACTCCAACCTATGCGGTCGTCTCGAGCTGCATCTCTTTCTACGTTCCTTGTATTGTCATGATTGGTAAGAAGCAGGGCCGTAGTCAGAAATTTAAGGCATAGCTTGCGTCGATAAATTAAACACACTCTCGGTTATACGAGATTTTATTCCCTTTATTTTGATCGCTGATCAGATTTTCAGTTCAAATCAAATCAATTTTTGCTCATTTCTTTTGAATTATGTTATTGCTAGCAATGGGTTTGCTTTTTTAGCGCAGTATTCAAACAAAGCTTAATGCTAATGTAAATTGAACAGACCAAATGGAATAATTTTCCCATTCGCGTTTTATATTTACAAATTCGCTGGAGAGTTTAAAGTAAAAAATATTCGTTTTACAGATTTTAAAATATGTATTACTGTAACTAAATTATTTTCATTATCTTCAAAAAAAGGGTAAGTAAATTCTGCTATAAAAAGAGGTTTGGAAAAGGTTTATTTATTTAAATGTTAATTATAATCTCATATCACCCTTATACCCTAGAAAAACGTTTTGTATTTTCAACATCTTTTTTTTTATTTATTAAATTTAATTAAAGTTAATTAAAATTACCATATAACTGACTCAAGGTGTTATGAAAGAATGTCATAAACGAGACATTTCAATATTTAAGTCAAAAAGAAAATAAAATTGTAATGAATTTGATAAAAAATATGCTTCATTAATCAGTAATGTTTGGCGAGGTTTCTTGATACTAGTCTTCAAATCATAAACCTGTTACCGAACTACGACACGAAAACTATATAAAGCTTCTTATAATTAATATAACTTGCAGTAAATTAAACAAAAATACAGAAACATGTACTGATGGAGCAAAGGACGACATAAAGCACACAATTTTAATTCAAAACCTTACTATAAGACATATGCACTTAGAAACATTCGTTAAAAGTGAAGTGTTGCATTTGAAGCTGTGTATAATTCGTTAACTATATAAATCAACACTGCCTGATGAGGATGAACATTATAAATTTCGCTGCACTGTAATGTACCTAGATTTATATAACGCCATTCATTGAGTCTGAACAAACAGTTGACATTAGTCGGTAAATTGTACATATTTTTACTACGTGCACTGGACATGAGAGAATCGATAATGTGTGCTACGATCGTAAATTCAAAGTGAGTTTATTTTTACTTCCTATAAATTGGAATGCCAATCGCATTCAATTTACCGTTGAAACGAAAATTCTTAGCTTTACTGTTTTTACAAGGCAAAAAAGAACTTGGACATCATAAGGAATTTTAAACTAAAGTATTTTGTAATCGAAAATATAAGAATACAGTAATGCCGCGCCCGCCTAAATGAAGTAATAATAAAATAATAATAATTATCAAATATCAACTCGCCCAAAATTATATTCAGCGCATTTTGCGCCATTGTAACTTAATTCATGAAATCGTCTTGTTTTGAGGAGACAAAGTCAATCAAATTTCATTTTATTTTAACTTAGATGCTTGTTATCAGAACGTGCTAATATTGCAATTTTTCGAAGTATAAATATAAACAGTTGAAGTTACACATATAGTGAAACATTGAAAAAACATGTTTTCCCATTGGTTTTTTATTTCAAATATATTTCATATAGTCCACACATGTGCGGATTGGAATGTCATAATTTTTCAAAGAAGTGGAATTTGTTAGACTGTACTTCAAAAGCGAGGGAAGTTTTGTCGAAATAACCTTCGACCATTTTTTTTTTAAATACGATTAGTCTACGATGTCTAAAGCAACGACTAGTATTTCAGAATATACCTGTAAATAACGTAAGAAAAAAAAAATAAAATTTACTTCATGTTTTGTAATCAGTAAATCACGTCAATGTTCTACGGTAATTTTAGTTTTCAAGAAGTTCCTTTTTGGAATTTCTAGCATATCTTAATATAAAAACATGGGTAGATAATTTAAACACAAATAAACGAAATGGATTTTGCGAGTAGATCGTACTTAATAAAATGTTGCAAAAATCACAAAATACACCCCAAAATTAACAATCGGCTCAATAGTTTTGGAGAGGCGGTAAACAGACAGGAATAGCAATCCTGCATTTTCGTATTCTGCACACCGAAACGGTAAGAAAACATAAAATGTTCGCCAAATATTTCTATATTTTTACCTTCAATGTGTAAGCTAGGGAAGTATTGTAATAGAGTCCATCCGGTGAATCCTACTTTCATGTTTTCTCGACGTTTTGTAACCCCTAAAGTATAAAAAAATAGGACTCCTGTTCCTGTGCGTTTTTTTATTAAAAGTCCACAACTTATTGCTTTGTATTAGAAACATAAAGTGACAGCGGCACTCTTGATGACACCTATGTCAAGTCAAAACAGAATTCTACACAAGCGCCAAGATCATTCAAAATTTAAACATGCCTCGCAAAAAGAAAAGGGTTCTCGTATCAAGACGTGAATTAACTTTAAATATCAAAAGGGAAATTAGGACTTGTTTTGATAATTTCGTGAAGTTGGCTGAAAATAAAGTTAAATCAGATCCGTCACAGTTGTGGTCGTACATAAACACTAAAAAAGGAACATCTAGAATCCCGGGTACAATGGAAAACGGCAACAACGGGGAAAAATTAAAAGACCCACTTGCAATTGTCAATGGTTTTGCTTCACATTTTAGTAGTGTCTTCAGGAAGGACGATACAACCAACCCAAAGTTTGATACTGAGGAAGCTGTCTGTGATAAGGTGGACTGTGATAATAAAATCTGTGATAACCTGCAATATCAAATCTGTGATTCTATCTGTGATACGACGACCAACGTACCTGTTTTACACAATTTTTCAATTGACGTCAATGATATTTTGAAGGCAGCACGCAAGATAAAAGCCAACTATACAATGGGCATTGATCACATACCCGGGTTTTTTGTGAGGGATTGTATTTCGTGTCTTAGCACTCCACTATGCTATTTGTTTAATTTAATAATGCAGACATGTACATTCCCCGAATGCTGGAAAATTGCAAGAGTGTGCGCGATACATAAGTCGGGATCTAAATCAGACATAAAAAATTACCGGCCGGTTGCGATTATCCCTAATTTTGCCAAGCTATTTCAAATTATATTGTCTAACAATGTTTATAGTCACATTATGCCTGTCATATCAAATTCTCAGCATGGCTTTATGAAAGGCAGATCCACCTGTACTAATTTAGCTGAATTTACACAGTTGGTCTCCAATGCATTGAATTTAAAGAAACAAATTGATGTAATATACACGGATCTTTCAAAAGCCTTTGACACTGTAAACCATAAACTTATGTTAGAAAAGTTACGATTAGTTGGTATGTGTGATAGTTTAGTCTCACTATTTAAATCAATTTTAATTGGTCAAAAGCAGTTTGTTGAGTATCAGGGCTATAGATCTTATGTTTATGAATGTTCCTCTGGTGTTTGTCAAGGTTCAAATCTAGGGCCGCTTTTATTTCTAATTTTTATGAATGATGTTGTTGCGCATTTTAATAAGGATTGTTATCTATTTATGTACGCCGACGACCTGAAAATAGTGAGAATTATTAAAGATGTAACGGACTGTGTAATGTTACAAAACGACATTCAAACATTAGAATTATGGTGTCTTAATAATAAGTTGCTCTTGAACGATACCAAATGTTGCGTTATGTCATTCTTTAGAACATTAAATCCTATTTTATACGATTATAAAATTCATAATCAGGTTCTAAAGAGATGTACAATCTTTAAAGATCTAGGAGTAGTAATGGATCCATCCTTAAATTTTATACCACATTATGCATATATATACTCAAAGGCATTAAGTATGTTAGGTTTTATAATAAGAAACACCAGGGAATTCAAAAATACTGAATGTTTGATGTTGTTATATAATACATATGTAAGATCAATACTTGAATACTGCACGATTGTCTGGTGTCCTTACTATAAGGTGCACATTAAGCTCTTAGAAAGCATTCAGCGTAAGTTTTGCAAATATCTGTATAACAAGCAACAAGGGCACTATCCAGAACGCAAATATCCACATCCTAAATTACTGGAAGATTGTAAAGTATTAGAATTAAGATCAAGACGTGAATATCTGTCACTTATGTTTCTTTATAAATTATGGAATGGTTTGATTGTTAGCAGTAATTTGTTAAGTCAATTTAATGTGCACGTACCTCGTACTAATGCCCGTAACCCTATATTTTTTTCCACAACTATTGCCAAAAGTAACCAGCATAATCATTCTCCTGTTTTCGATATGTCTCACGTGTACAATAAGTATAGGCAGGCTTTGGACTTATTTTCTGGTTCGTTGTCTCAATTCCGATATTCTTGCACCGACATAGTTTTTAAGTAAATGATTGTGTTATAAGACTGTAATGTATTGTTGTTCTACGGGTCCTTTAAAGAGCCTTGTGCTCGCTGGGCAAATATACTTTATTATTATTATTATTATTATTATTATTATTATTATTATTATTTAAGACGTGGGTTAATAAAAATCTTCCAACCACAAAGTTTAATGAAAGAGAGCCAGAAGGGACCATGTTTACAGATGTCGCAAAACAAATAAACTAACTTTGTTTTGGTTTTCCTCTAAAAATTCATATCAACGTTGTCACTTATGTTAATGGGAGAAATTTCTACTTTGGTGGACTTTAAAACGTACTTTACGTGTTTCTGCTAAAATGTTGATTGCGTCATCACTTCATCACTAAACTCACTAGAAACACATGCACATGGTGCTTCTTTATCTGTACTTTAACAATACACACATATATTAATTTTAGCTCTTAGGAATCGTTATTAAAAGAAATAAAATTCTCAAAGTTAAAGTTTATAATTTTTCGAAGCTGTTCGACTGTACTTTGGAACGAGAAAAGTTCTGTCAAATTAGCTTCTCATTTTTTTTTTAAATAAATATTTGTTGAAAATTAGGTTTCGAAATGTCTAATTACATTAATTTTATTGATTAAAAAATTTAAAATGGTTTATCCAATTTTCCAAAAATACACAAAAAAAAAGAAATTGAACACACAGACTAACTTAAGGACTGAG